TCACTTTCCTACAAGATCAAATCAGATAAATTCCCCAAACTTCCATCCAAACTGAGAGTTAGGTTTCCTGTGTTTACTGGGAATAATAATCAAGATCAATGTTGTCAATTATTTGGTTCTATTTCACCATTATCAATTACAACAGAAAAACATGGCTACACAATGAAGACACCAGAAGCTGTATCCTGTCCTCCAGTCAAACCACTGCTTGATAAACCAGAGCTCATCACCAACATAGACACTGGGTATAAATCACTATACGGTGTTACCTGTCTCAGTGATGAAGAAATCTGGACACATGGAGGAGACAAATTCACGAAACTCTACAACCTCCAGGGCAAACTTAGTCTACTGAAATCAATCCAAACCAAGTCAGGGAAAAAACCATTTGACATATCAGTGACAAGGAGTGGAGATCTAGTTTATACTGACCCTGATACAAGAACTGTAAACATAGTGAAGAATAAATAGATACAGGAAGTGATCAGACTACAGGGGTGGATACCTAACGGTGTCTGTAGTACCCCCTCTGGTGACCTCCTGGTTACCATGGACAGTGATGATTATAAACAATCAAAAATTGTCCGTTACTCTGGCTCCACAGAGAAACAAACCATTCAGTTTGATAGCAAAGGTAAAACTCTGTATTCATCTGGTTACAATAGTAAATACATCAGTGAGAACAGGAACCTGGATATCTGTGTAGCTGACAAAAGAGCCAGAGCAGTAGTGGTGGTTAATCAGGCAGGAAAACTCCGATTTAGATACACTGGTCATCCCTCTACTAACAAGGTATCATTTAATCCACTTGGCATCACAACAGACAGCCAGAATCAAATCCTGACATCAGACTTTACCAACAACTGTATCCACACCCTAGATCAGGACGGACAGTTCCTCCGTTATATTGATAACTGTGATCTACAGTATCCATATGGTTTATGTGTAGACACCAGAGACAACCTCTTTGTGGCTGAGTTCATCAGTGGTAAAGTGAACAAAATGAAATACATGTAAACAATGTGTGCTGAAATTTTATATTTTAATTGAGATAAGAGTTACCAGATGTTGTTGTAATTTGTTGTTGTTGATGTTCTTTTTCTTTTTTCACATTGTTATTAAAATTGATTTTTATTAAATAATATTCTGGCTATATTATATATTGTTTTTCATCTACATTAATTTAAACAAATTTTATAGAGTATTTCCATCAAGAATAACATTGCTATAGAATACAACAGTCAGCAATAATAATTATATATAATAGTATAATGATTTGGTTGTACTAGATCTACAGCGTCGTGCCAAAAGTATTCGCGGAAAATGGCGGTCGTGGTCTAAGAGTTGTTGCCCTTCGTACAGAAAAATGAATGTTATGACGTTAATACTGAATGAAAGTTAATTTTGAGACGATCCCCGAAATCAGTATAAATTTCAGGATGTATGACGCATAAAAGATCGTCTGCTAGAGTAAATTGTTTCGTCATATTTGAACGTAAACAAAGATGGGTCGAAAGTCTAAAGAATTGTCACCGGACAAGAAAGAAGTGATTATAAAATTAAAAACATAGGTAATCAAAGATTACTAAGCTCACCTCGACGAATGTAATCTATAAGTAAGGCAAATCTCACATCATAATTTTTTCCTAGTTAGTGTACATCCATCAATATTAGATTCAAAATCCAAAACAAGTCTGGAAGTGTCCATATCTAGATACATCATCATCCATGCTAATTTGGTTAAAATATGGCTAAAATTCACTCATGTGGAAAATCTAGGTCAGATCCAGAATCCGAAGCAGGTTAGTTAGTGTCCATCCCTAGATGCATTCTCCATGCAAGTTTGATCCAGGTAAGGCTTATAATTACTTGTGAATGGACCTGCTCCAAAAACTTTAACCTGTTCAATCATCTGGAAAATCTAGGTCAGATCCAGCATCCGAAGCAAGTGTGGTAGTGTCCATCCCTAGATGCATCAACCATGCAAGTTTGGTCCAGGTAGGGCTTATAGTTACTTGGGAATGGACCTGCTCCAACAACTTTAACCTGGTCAATCCTCTGGAAAATCTAGGTCAGATCCAGCATCCGAAGCAAGTGTGGTAGTGTTCATCCCTAGATGCATCATCCACGCAAGTTTTGTCCAGGTAGGGCTTATAGTTACTTGTGAATGGACCTGCTCCAAAAACTTTAACCTGTTCAATCATCTGGAAAATCTAGGTCAGATCCAGCATCCGAAGCAAGTGTGGTAGTGTCCATCCCTAGATGCATCATCCATGCAAGTTTGGTCCAGGTAGGGCTTATAGTTACTTGGGAATGGACCTGCTCCAACAACTTTAACCTGGTCAATCCTCTGGAAAATCTAGGTCAGATCCAGCATCCGAAGCAAGTGTGGTAGTGTCCATCCCTAGATGCATCATCCACGCAAGTTTTGTCCAGATAGGGCTTATAGTTACTTGGGAATGGACCTGCTCCAAAAACTTTAACCTGGTCAATCAACTGGAAAATCTAGGTCAGATCCAGCATCCGAAGCAAGAGTGAAAGTGTCCATCCCTAGATGCATCATCCATGCAAGTTTGGTCCAGGTAGGGCCTATAGTTACTTGGGAATGGACCTGCTCCAAAAACTTTAACCTGATCACTCATCTGGAAAATCTAGGTCAGATCCAGCATCCGAAGCAAGTGTGGTAGTGTCCATCCCTAGATGCATCAACCATGCAAGTTTGGTCCAGGTAGGGCTTATAGTTACTTGGGAATGGACCTGCTCCAACAACTTTAACCTGGTCAATCCTCTGGAAAATCTAGGTCAGATCCAGCATCCGAAGCAAGTGTGGTAGTGTCCATCCCTAGATGCATTATCCATGTAAGTTTGGTCCAGGTAGGGCTTATAGTTACTTGGGAATGGGACTTGCTCCTAAAACTTTAACCGGGACGCCGACGCTAACGCCGACGCCAACGCCGGGGGTATAGCATAAGCTCATCTCGACTTCGTCGAGGTGAGCTAAAAAGATGGATTAAAGATTAGTGAGATTTCTACTTGCAGGTCTGTTATCAAGACTTTTCAGGAACGGGGTAGCCTGTTGAAGGCTAAAAGAAGTGGCCGTCCGAAAAAACTGTCCTGTCGTGGTGAAGCCAGGTTACTTCGGTTGGTGAAGCGGAGCAGAGGAAAGGTACTAAAAGATGTAACAACCGAATTTAATGTTGGAAATGGTTTAAATCAAGTCAGTAGGAGGACTGTGCAACGGATTTTGCATAAAAATCAGATTTATAGGAGAGTTGTTAGGAAACGTATGGTGGTGAAAGAGGTCAACCGAAAAAAGAGACTTACATGGTGCCTACAAAAACGGAGATTAACTGTAAACCAGTATTGGAGAAACATTATCTTCAGTGATGAGTCGCAAATCGTACTTGGTCAAAATAATAGGGTCTACGTGTGGCGATCTGCCCATGAAGCTTACAGACCGGAGTACATGTTTGCAGAATGCAAGCCCAAAGTTTCAGTTATGATCTGGGGGTGTATTACCTGGTATGGGCCTGGAACTCTGTGTAAGGTAAACGGCAATATAAATTCTGAGAAATACATTTCAATATTGGATGAACAACTGTGGCCTGTAATTGCCCGTCATTTCCCAGACAATTCCTACATATTCCAGGATGACAATGCCCCCGTGCATCGAGCCCGTGTCATAGAGAGATATAAACATGAAAACAACATCCGTGGAATGATTTGGCCAGCCCAATCACCAGACATCAATACTATCAAAAATTGTTGGCATCGGGTGAAGAGAAGTTTACAAAATCAGGCCGATGAAATATCTAACCCAGATCAGCTGTTTGAAGCTATTCTCGATATTTGGCAGAATCTCTCGGTAGATTACATTAAAAACCTTTATCAATCCCTACCACGAAGAATTCTTGCTTGCATTCGGTCCAAAGGACACCTCACAAAGTACTAAAGGTATGTGTATTTTCTTATTGTGTTGAAAACGGCAAGTTTATTATGCTAAGCGAGATAACTCTCAATTGACGTCCGCCATTTTCCGCGAATACTTTTGGCACGACGCTGTATATGCTGAAATAGAAGTCAGAGTTTGACACATGGTGTACAAGCCTCAACCTGATTTAATATTAGGGATGCGTGATTTTATTGGTATACCGGTAAATCATGATTTTTTTATTGCATGATACGTATCGTGATATGGAGACTAAAATACAGGTATTTGGTACATGATTATAAATTCCAGAAACAATTCATTTATTTCTTTGATCTATTAAATAAAACTTACAGGAAGTCTAAAAAATGTTGAACTACAGCATCCAAACATGCTTTATATGATATAAATAAAAATTAAAAAAGTGAAGTTATGTTTTTACAGCGTTACTGTAAGAAAAATTAGAGAAATTCATTTGAAATTGTAGGAAAAATTCGTGTAGGAACATCACAATATTATCATAATATTTTGGGGAAAAATCATGATATATCACAATAAGAAATTTTGCCGATATCCATCCCTAAAAAATATTACTGTAAAATCACGTAGTTATTTTCATGAGGTCAAATTTTCATGGTTTGAGGAAAAAAATCTTCATTTATGGGGATTTAATTTCATGGTTGAAGACGTTATGAAGTGTTTTAAATTAAAATTTAACATTTTGTGGAGACCATGTACTGTATATACATGTACAGGTAAGCAGAATTTCATCAAAGATTCAATTTTGGCATTATTAGCGAGGCTTTTGAGATCACAAAATTTAAAAATCACTTATAATTTATTCTGTATTGATGGTTATAGCCATCATTTTTGACATTATAAAATTGCAATTACTTCTCACAAAAAATATATAGATTTACTTATATTTGAGGATAAAGCACTAAATATGGGTCTCTCTAAAAATTCCACTCAATACATACAGCATCAGTTTCACAACAAAAAACAACCACATTCACCCATCCCCATGAAAAATTAGTGATTTCACAGAACAATACCAATTTCAAAGTTGTACCTTCTGTGGTGAGGTCATCAAGAGATTCCTCCTCTTCCTCTGTCCCTCCCCAGAACCAGCTGAACCATCCTCCCCCAGCTTTTTTCTTCTCCTCTTGTTTCCTCTTCAGTTCTTCTTTCCTTCTTCTTTCTCTTTCTCCTGTTTCTTCTTTAAACTGAATTTTAGAGAAAAATATTTATTTTGACAACTACAAGATCTGTTTGTGTAACACAATTTCCCTCGATGTAATAAAGTCCTAATTGACCATAAATACTGATGTTTTATTCTTGGCTTAGATATTTTGAAATAATACCATTAAAAAGGCAAGAATGAAATTTTCGCAAGCAGACTGCCTCATGTTTTTACATGAAAATAAAGTTCTCGCAAATAAAATGTGGTTTACTGTACAGTATATTACATGACAGCAGCTATTGTAGATTCCTAAATATACGCGAGGAATAAATTATTGCGTAATTACGTGAGGAGCACCGCTCATGAAATAAAATTACTCGCTTTTATTTTATGGTGCTTTAATGTATGTAAAATCTCTAGATAAATCAACCAATCGCGAATTATTGTTCCCGTGATTTGACGTCACTGGGCCATTTCGCGATATTAAGCACTCGCGTAAAATAAGGAATCTACAGTAACCTAGACCCTAAGTGCCAAATATACAGTAAAACACACTTATAGGGAATACACTTATAAAGAATTGATGCTTATAATGAAGTGCTTTTTTATTCAAATATATTGTACACTTATTGGATAAAACAAATTAGGCTAATAACGAAGCAAAATTGCAAAATCCCTGGCACTTCGTTATAAGCATGTTTTACCGTTTAGCTCAGTTCAACTAGCCAAATTTTGGGTGCAAATACTTTTGTAAAAATTATTTTTCAGAATAGAGTTAAGCAAAGACTAGCAATGTCGATGTGAAGTGGTAACCAAGATGGCCATTTTTGATTTTGAAATTGTACTGAATATCAAATATTTATGCTAGTCTAGCTAACAAATCATTCAAGGTCTTAGCTTTATAGAAGCTACAATGCCTAATACTGACCTTCTATTAAGCTTTACAAATAAAGCATACATTATAAAACATAACAGGTTATGAAGTTTTCTGTTTTTACAGGAAAAGTAAATGCATGTTGCATATCCTTACTGAACAATTTGAATGATTCAATTAGATATCATAACACTATGAAAAGGCTCTATACACATGTAAAAAGCAATTTTCCAAATCTAAAAAAATCAGACTTTCCTTCAGAAAAGTGCTACATCTAAGTGCAATGCTACATAGCCAGTTTCTCGACCTTCAGTTGAACCTTGACCTTACTAAATCATGGACCCATCACTTAACTTTTGCCTTGTTTTTTGACTTGATTAATAGACATAGTCATGTTTCCTTGCTTTTAATGTGACCTTTGAACTTTATTATTGTAGTTTTAGTATCACAATTAGGCTTTTACCATGCTTTAGGGTTGACCTATACAAAAAATTACCTTGACCTCATTCAGGACCTTTTGACCTTGACATTGCGATTTTCATACTACATTACCCTTTGCCCAATTTACGTGAAAATAGGATACCAATTTTTTTCTTAAAAACATCAAACTTCTTCTTGACTTATTTTGAATACTTTACCCTTATCATTCTTTGGTCAATTTACCTTGAGCCTAGCCTCCGTCCTGGCCCTTAGAATGTTGGTGACATCCATTGATTTTTCTAGTTGTTCAACCTTCTGTTTAATTCTCTGGTCTTTAGGAGATTCCAGGTGTTGCTTGTACACCTGCCAGTATTTTACATAGTCTTGCCTACAATTATTTAAAAAGAAAATTCATTTTTCATCAATACCAATATGGCGTTGGAATATTGGGCAAAAATAAAGAAACTATATAGTTTTATATCTGATATAATCTTCAAACAAAAGGAGATTCAAGTGTATAGACTTAACAGATTTATCTTATAATTCAAATCTTGAAATTTTACATTTCTCACAAAACCATTCTGATTTTGAAGACCTTTACAACTGTTACATTCCAACACAGATTCCTATTTCTTTTCAGTATTTTTACACATAACATTCACTGTAACAGTAATAAACATTTTCGCAAAAATTTTATTCCCAATAACTTAACATAATATTATCAACCTAACAATATTTCTTTTAATGGTTTAACTTGAAAAATATACAGTACACCCTTAAGTGTAGACCAGTAAGACACAGACAAGACTCACTTGTACTTGACTATCTGAGGCCACATGTAAGGTTTAATGTTAAACTCTACGACTGAATCATAAGCATATCTCCACCAGGACTTGGGGTTCTTCTTAACAGATACTGTGGGGCGAAATTTCCTGTACCGCCGATTCACTTCCAACCTTTTGGAAAATTCCAGCCATCTTGTGACACTCAAATACTGCAAGGTCAGAGTATATGCTTGCTAAATATCACCTTTATGAGCAATTTTATTTTAATCCATTGAGAAATTTATCTTTATTTCATATAAGTATCTTTCATTGAAAAAATAATAAATAAATACAGGTATGTCACTGGAGGAGCTCAATTTGACAAAAATGAAATACTTAATTAAGGCATGTTTGAGTATTTGCATTTTCCACAGAATCAAAAGTTTACTATGAGAGTTTTTTTTCCTTAATCACATATATACAGATATCTCAATCTACAGCCAACATAACAGTTTACTGTATTGCTTTATGAGTTAGTTTTTGAGAGATTGATTTTGTTCTATCGGACATACCTGTTTGTGTGATGGGACATACCTGGTTGTGTGATGGGACATACCTGTTTGTGTGACAGGACATACCTGATTGTGTGAAGGGACAAACCTGTTTGTGTGACAGGACATACCTGTTTGTGTGAAGGGACATACCTGTTTGTGTGACAGGACATTCCTTTTTGAGTGATGGGACATACCTGATTGTGTGAAGGGACAAACCTGTTTGTGTGACAGGACATACCTGTTTGTGTGATGGGATATACAGTCCCTGAAACGTTCTACTTTCCCATTTTTCCGTTCGCTCACCGTTCGTTCACCATTCGTTCAGCGTGCGTTCACCGTTCGCTCACCGTGCGTTCACCGTTCGCTCTCCGTTCACAGTCTTGCGTTCTGCGTTCACCGTGCGCTCGCGTTCACCGTTCACAAAGCGTTCACCGTTCGCTCTCCGTTCGTTCACTTTGCGTTCACCTTTGCGTTCAGCGTTCACTTATCGTTCAGTCTTCAGTGTCATTCGGAACTCCGAAGTGAAAGGACTTATCTTTTTTGGAAGTAAGGATTTACGGGATTTCAAATTTAATAATTCACATATCGTTTTTAAAGGATCATTATTTTATTGGAATAAATTATCTACAATATGCTTTATTATTATTATTATTCTAACTTAGCTGTTTGGTTATTATTTAAATTACTCTGGAAAATAAATGTTGTTATAAGTATGTACCTATGTAGAACGATGCTGAAAAATTAAATTTAAATACGGGCAATATAGGGGTATTTTAAATTCGCCAGGGAGTATGTTTCAAATTCGTTCGAAGTGTTTATGCCAAATGTATTTTAATTATTTATTTACTGGAAAAATTGGAATCAGATCTAGAAATGATAAAACATGTAAAACTTCTTGGAAATACTACAGTGTAGCACCTCGCCTTTGGTGTGACGAAACTTTCACACCTGGCTGAACAGTGTCGAATGATTTTGATTGACAGGACAAGCACGTGGACTTCGTGTGAACTTGAAGCAGGAAAATAAAAACCGATTATGACTGTCAAACAAAGTGAATTTGTTGATAAATAAAAAAAGGTTACTTTCACTGCCTGAGATATTTAGATAAAAATTAAGAGTTTTCGTTTATACAGGTACATGTACATGTATTTGTGAAAAGGGGGGCTAATACATAATCTCTCTCTCTCTCTCTCTCTCTCTCTCTCTCTCATTTGTCCGTTTAATCAAAACTATAACACGTATTACTTAAATACCAAGTTCTGAAATTTTAATCTATAACAAATAATATGAATGCTTCTTTGTATCACCTTGTCCGAGTATAATCACGTGGAATTGTTTATAGATACATGTAGAAGTCTGCTGAATAAATCATCATTAAAAAAATGAAAAGACACATAAATATATTATTGCATTAATTTTTTCTAAATATGAGGGTATACATGCAATACGTCCACAGACTAGCAAAATATTTTTTTTATTTTTTTTCTCATTATTTCACACGGAAATGCCTTGACACGGAAATACATGTATGGTTGTTACAACCCTTGTTATTCGTTCTATAAGTCAGTAATGTACTCTTCGAAAATCATTATTTGTAATGGTTTTATATATCAAATGAGAATAAACATATTTATTTTACAACTAGAATGATTTTATTTTTTGAACTACTGCGTTCGGTAACAATGACATGTTTTACAGCGATAAAAATCGTGTGATTAAACAGCGGAATTTAAACATCATACATATGTACAGAAAATATTGTAAGAAACTTAATTGATAGTTTTACTAAATGTGCATGTTTCATCTTTCTCAGGACAATTTTTGAATATTTATTTATTTTCCGCCTGACATTAGAATACAATAGAATAGATACAATGCATGGAAAAGATCAGAGGCATTCCGAATAAATCGTTCATCTTGCGTTCACCGTTCGTTCACCGTTCACTTTGCGCTCGCATTCGCGCTCCGTTCGCGTTCTGCGTTCGCTCACCGTTCAGCGTTCACCTACCGTTCACCAAGTTGCGTTCAGCGTTCACACATCGTTCACTCACCGTTCGCTCTGCGTTCGCTCACCGTTCGCTCTGCGTTCGCTCAGCGTTCGCTCACCGTTCAAGTGGGAAAGTAGAACGTTTCAGGGACTGTACCTGTTTGTGTGACAGGACATACCTGTTTGAGTGATGGGACATACCTGTTTGTGTGACAGGACATTCCTTTTTGAGTGATGGGACATACCTGTTTGTGTGACAGGACATACCTGTTTGTGTGATGGGACATACCTGTTTGTGTGACACCCTGGCTGTAGCATCCCCTATAGATAGTTGTATGTACAGCTTAGGCATCTTATAGTCATCCACATTATATAAAATCACCTTGGCCTCCGCAGTAAATGGAGTCAGTACTAAATAACCAAGAGGAAAAAAGAAAACATGTTTGAAAAAATGTTTATAGACAAAATTAAAATAGTACATATGCCTAGTAAGAACAGTAAAAACTTTGATAATTTTGATTCAATGAGACCAAGAGAAACCTTCAAGATATCCAAGAATATAAAATACTGAGTTAAAAATATATAAAAAGAAAATAATTCTGGTTGGGATTTTATCCTTTTTTGGCATGGTTGTTTGATACTGTGAACCAACATTTTTTTGCTTACCAGAAATATCAGCATTTTCTTTTTACCTTCTTTTACATGTGTAAGGGGAAAGGAGAAAAATGTGATGGACCAGTCCGGTATTTGAACCCGGCCCCCCGAATCTCCAGTCAGGTGCTCTACCAACTGATCTATATGGTCCCATCTATCAAATCTGTCATACCACCACATTCCTCCCTCCTTAAAGGTCTTTGGCCCCCCACACTTGCAAATATTTCTCACCACATATCATTTAATTCCTTGTGCATTTAAATAGAATTTTTCCTAATTGATTTTATGAAACTCAATTGTAGCAGATATATTTCAAACTGACAAAATGTATGTAAAAGATGTCACAAGTAATAGTTGGTAAACAGTATCGCAAAGTTTAACTGTATAAATACATGTACATGTAATAATATCTCTCCTGGCTTTTAAGAATTTCCTGCTAATGGCAAATTATACATTAATCATTAAGAAAATGGAATTACCTGAAGAAAATTTGTCTTTTGAAATCACCTTAGACCTGATGGATTGCTTCAATAAACTCTGTTGATAAAAATTTAAGAAAAGTGTTTATTATTCATTATTTAAACTAATCTAACATTTGGAAATGTATAAAATTACATTAATATATAATTAGCATTGAAACTGCTTTAAATTAAGATTTTTTAAATAATTACAAAAAAGTTACACAGAATTTAACATTCCACTGCACTTCCAATTACTCTTGAAAACTGAACAGTGAAACACTTACCTTCCAATCTCCCGACTGAACGAGATTTTTGCCTCCCACAAGATCACTACTGCTGACCCGTGAATTCCAATACAGGGAAAAATCCGACACCTTACCAAGCTGTAAAACAACAAATGTCATTACATACTCAGAAGTACAGGATTATCAAGAAGCTTAGAGATTATGTCTTTAGAAATATTTGACATCAATTTAATGAAATTCTTGGGGATTTAGCTATTTCAAGACAGATGTCACTCACGTTATTGAATCTATAGCAAAAAAATAATAGTGCTACCATTTATAGATGTACATGTTCAACATTTTAGTTTATATTGGTGGTAAACAATTTTATACATTGTACATGCCATCAAAAGATGGTTAAATAATTTAAAGAAACATTTTTATGTCATTGATCATATCAAACTTGTCTAGAAATTATGCATTCCAATACCAAACTTGTGTTTGATTTTTTTTAAATTAATAATACCAGTCTTGTGTAGGAATTCTGTGATGCTTAAGTTGTGTAGGATTTTTGCATTACCAACCTTATGTAGTATTTTTATAATATCAAACTTGTGTAAGATTTTTACAATACCAACCTTGTGTAAGATTTTTACAATACCAACCTTGTGTTGGATTTTTGCAATACCAACCTTGTGTAGGATTTTAGCAGTGCTGTCTAATTCCACCTCCTCCCATCTGTCATTTGTTGTAAATATGTAAAGCCCTCCCAGGATTCCCCCAGCAGCAAATGGGGTTCCGGGGTTTGAAACTGTATCCTCATATCTAATGTGTACATTACTAATTTTTATCTGAAGAAAGGAAATTCTTTTTATGTACATGACTATACATTAATTCAAAAAACATTTGGTTTCAACAAAAACACTTATAATTTTCTATCCACAAGGACTTGCACTATACAAATTATTTGTAATTTAATTTCTGCGCACGTCAGAATTGACCAACACTAAACATATTTGCTTGATGAAAACATTTCAATCACATATCATTTTTTAAAAAAAATACTGCATTTGAGTTCCAGATTTAACAATTACTGTATAATACAATAATGCAAACAGTAACATTGCAGAATTACAACCAAAATAAATTATGACTTCTTTCTTTAAATAACTGTACATACCTGAATGTTATTCAGAATGTATTTTCCAATCTTCTCAAACAGGCCAGGGTGTTTCTCTGCTTCCTTAGCTGCAAATAACAACAAATAAGACAACAATTTATTAATGATTGTTACATAAAGTTAACAAAATCTTAATAAATGACACAGTCCTGCAACTCTACATATATTCACAGACTTTCTGTAGGATTGAAAGATCTAGTGCCTTCAGAAAGGCCTGTTTGAGTTGACTATTTGAGAAATACTCACAGACTTTCTGTAGGACTGAAGGACCTAGAGCCTTGAGCAATGCCTGTCTCAGTTAACTATATTGTGGAATACTCACAGACTTTCTGTAGGACTGATGGATCCAATGCCTTGAGCAATGCCTGTTTGAGTTGAATATTTTGAGGAATACTCAGACTTTCTGTAGGACTGAAGGATCCAGTGCCTTGAGCATGGCTTATATAAGTTAAGTATTCTGAGTGATACTCACAGACTTTCTGTAGGACTGAAGGATACAGTGCCTTAAGCGTGGCCTGTTTGAGTTAACTGAGTGATACTCATAAACTTTCTATAGGACTGAAAAATTCAGTGCCTTGAGCATGGCCTGTTTGAGTTGACTATTGTGAATGATGCTCACAGACTTTCGAAAGGACTGAAGGATCCAGTGCCTTGAGCAAGGCCTGTTTGAGTTAACTATTCTGATTGATACTCACAGACTTTCTGCAGGACTGAAGGATCTAGTGCTTTGAGCATGGCCTGTTTGAGTTTGTGCTCCATCTCTTCCACTCTCTGTTTGTTGTAGGAATCCATGGTAACAGGGCTCAGTAGAATGTAGAGTCCGTCCAGCTCTAGACGGACCTCCGTCCCTCCAAACAAATTTCCCCATGGTATTGAGAGGCGAATGTAGTCTGTTACGGTTAATATTAAATAAATTTAGTGTCTATTTACAGAATTTTCACTTAATGTGACAAAAAAATAACTGTCATCAATATTTTATATTTAGCATTACCTAAGTGCCCTACTTTCACTTCAAATGCTTGTTCCTTGCCAAACTAAAAAGAAAAATTAAACACAAATCTTTTGTTGCACGAATAAATAAACTTAAACAAGCATTTATAGTTACCTTAAATTTTAAAAGCACTATATAGTTCAATTGCCATTTTATTATCAAGTCTGCTAATTAAATTCTCCTATGGTATTAATCCACATGAATATTTCTTGTTCTTAATTTTCATTAAGTTCAGGTACAAAGAAAAAGTGAATTATATTTGAAAAGATTTGCTACAAAGAAACTAAGCTATTTTTTAAGTATACCTGTAGTGTAAGGAAGTCCACCTAAGGTGAAAGAAATTACATAAAATTAAATTCAAGAAATTAATCAAAATTAATGTATTGATAAAATGAAGCAGCAATTTATTTATTCAACCTTTTTCTTGAGCATTTCATTTGACAGATTGAATTCTTTTCACAAAATAATTTACATTTCATTTTCATGATTATGTAACTTCAGAGTTAAAGCAGGTAGAAACCGATTTATTACCCACAGGATGATTTTGATGAAATCAAAATAGGGCAAGAGAAATGAACTTATGTATAAATATCACAGAAATGTACTGAAAGAAAAAATAGATATATTTCAATACTTACCACAGCCCTGGGCTTCAAAACCAAATCTTTTAGCTCCACATTACCTTAGAATAAATTAATTTTTATCCTTATTTAAGTGTGCATATTTACAGTATATAAATTTTTTCTAAATATCTTTTAACTAAAATCTTTGTTAAGATTTTCAATATGTACACTTATCATATCTTTTCAAAGCAGAACAAATGTTACAACTTAGGTTAAGAGAAGCTCAATTCTAAACTTAAAATATCTTTCAGAGAATGTTGGATCCACCTCTGTACGTATGACTTACCCCCTAACACACTATATTTCAGGTTATCCTGATTTATATTCTCCACAAACTCTCCAATGTACTCGTTAATTAAATTAACCAGTCGATCCTTAATCATGGCACTCTGCTAAGTTACACAACTGCTCTTCACTGAAACAAAATTTGCACATGTTAAAACCCATAATGTAATCAAGGTACTATGTCTGCGAAACAAAAGCCATTTCTATCTTTGACTTTCAACCCTTACACAAGACCTATAAATCTGCATAATGATATGAACATGATCTTCATCTAGGTCAAATTAAAAGTTTCTTTTTTTGCTACAATTTGGCCATGGGGAATTAAACAAACACTGAAATGCAACACAAGTTAAGGAAACATAGTTCTAAGCAATTGACCTTGTTAACATAGAAAAGTTGAGATATGGAAACATTGACAAAATAGACAAATACATGTAAACTGTAAGGCTAAAAAAATCTGTGTTTCCAGTAACATGACCGACCCTAATCTTACCCACTGACCCTACTATTTTTTCTTCCAAATTTGGATTCTGAACCCTACTTTTGTTTACTAGTACAATTTTCTCATAGTGCAGTCAATAAAATGCATGTCTGAGAGACTGTAAAAATAGGTCTAACTAAATTAGTGTTTTAAAGAATACACTTGATTTGTTGTGTATGTTCATTCATCTATGTGTATGTATATAATTATATGTATATATTATGACAAAAAAAAAACAGTGTATTGAATAATTCATTGATGCTTTCAAAAAATTAAAGTGAAAAAAAGTTATTGCCTACCTACTACCTTAATATATTTTGGCATGTGACTGGAAACACACATATTTTTTATTTGGCCTAATCATCAATATTTCCACAGGATCAATGCTAAATCCTAGTTTACCATTAAAGTTGGAACACTGCCATCTTTCTACATTTAGAAAATTGACACACTTTCAATGAGTCAATATAACCATGTTTACAGTATAACATCAACTCGAACCATATCAAGGGGACAAATAGTATCCTGCAGTAGCAAAATGATGTAAATTAGGTGCTGTGTAATTTCACAAACATGACAATTTTTTATGTTAATAAAATAGTTTGAGAGTGCTCCTACATTCCATACACTTTGATGAAAAATGAAGTCAAACCTGACTGATATATTTCCTTTACATGTATATACTCCATGAATTAGGATTTCTAAAAACTGATAACAGTGCTCCATATATTAAAATAGCAGCTGATGTCATTTCATATCATTTGGAACTTGTGCAATATTAAAACGCCTAGTATATTAATTATGCAATCATCAAAGTTTATCAGATTTTTTTTATCATAATCTGGCAAGTGTACAAATGTACCATGGTTACTTTCTTACTTTCACTTTACAAACATCACAGGAAAATCAATTTGGGTACAAATAATCTCACTGGTTTCAAATTATTTATTAACTGTACAGTATACCACACGTTTTTTTAGTTGTCATAAATTATAATTTATGCATTCTTGGTGGATCGCCAGTATTTGCAATATTGACTATCAACAAACACCTAAAAAGTCGTCTGTTGCAAGAAGGACAAGTGCAGAAAATTTATCCGCAATGCATAGAAAAGTCTACTGCGTTAAAATCTCAAAGTACAACAAAAAGAGACCTGTCAGCAAAACACACGTTCTCTCCGTCCAAGGAACAGCTGCAGTCATCTTCAGTTTATATAAAAATCAATGAGAGTCAGAGAGATTCTGATCGACAGTCGAAGTCAATTTTTAAACAAGTTGTACCCAGAATTAGTCGTTCTGTCAATTTGGTGGATATTTGACAAGTCGTACAATATGTTAAAAAAATAATTTTGTTAAAATCATTATAATTTATATAGACGATACATACAGGACGGTAGATCTAAGAGAAAAAATTTCATTACCAAATAATGAATCCAAAAAAAACAAATGCGTTTTCGATCGACTTCGCTCCCCACTTTTTTGTAATGGGCGGATCTAGAGGGGGTGGGATGTAAAAGTAACAAGAAATAACCTTGACCCCCCCCCCCCTTCCTCCCTGAAAATATGAACCCTTTAAAAACGGTCGTACGGAGAGTCAACTATTAGAAGAAAATTGGCTATTAGGAAAGTGTCGTCGTACCCCCCCCCCCCCTACACACGCACACGAAAAAGGGGTTTTCGGGTTTGATAAAAATGTTTATTCATTCATTCATTCAATCATTCATTCATTCATTCATTCATTCATTCCTTCCTTTATTTATTTATTTATTTATTTATTTATTTATTTATTTATTTATTTATTTATTTATTTATTTATTTATTTATTTATTTATTTATTTATTTATTTATTTATTTATTTATTTATTTCAATGTTTTTATTTTGGGGATTTTTTGAAAGATTTCATTTAATTAATTTGCTTCATAATAAATCTTTTGAGCAATCTAATTAGGTTCCTTGCAAACAAACTTTACACATTAGAATGATCAAAGACTGATATATCTGCTGCGAAATTATTCATGTAGTCATTGTTTTAAGACCTACGTGAAAAAATAAAAACTGCATTCAGAAACTTTTTAAGTTTGATAATTAAAAATAGTCAAAATACCTGAACAAAACATTTGCATGTATTTCTCCAGACCTTTTCTTGGGTAAATTCAAAATTTTGCGTCTGATTATAGGTTTTAACATGAAACACAATGGCGGGGGTGAAAATATTTAATTATGTATGATTTTCATACATTTTTTTTAAGTTTTAGCCTTACAATGTATATTTAGTATTACAATGTTGTCTACATTATAGATTTGTTTAACAACCCATAAGATATATGTGTTTCATGGCCATCTTATTCAATTATGCACCATATTGAATGTTCCACATGAGTACACAAAAGTACGTCTTATAGTGCTGGATTTTGTGAAGTCAGGGTAATGAGTCCTGGAGATACGTTTTGTTTTCTTTTGGTGCTCTCTCAACATCATCTCAGATATAAAACTGGTTCTAGAACAATCAGAGGTCTTTCCATCTTCTTTGGGTGTAATTTATATTTAACTCGTTTAGCTAAATTTTATCAAAAAGAAACAAGAAATGGCTTAAAAATTTGAAAAAATAAAAATCTAAAATAATTATAAAAAGCATTTATTTTGACCTGTGATCTTGACCAAATTTTCAAGGTTAAAGTCAAGAATCACGTGCATGTAGTCCAATGTTTCTACCATATGATTCGTTTGAAAGTTTTTGGGTTTAAAGATAAATGCGAAGACATAAAAGGGCAACAACTCACATAAGGGGTCGTCAGATCCCTTCGCATTGTACAGTTTTAAGCTTTGTCTTTAAAAACTGAAGACCTTAGAGAAGGTTTGGTGTTTCTATGAATTACGGTTTCAGAGGAGTATATGTAGAGATAACAAGATTTATGGTTTAAAGGGGGTAGGGTTTAGGGTTCCAAAATGAAATTTTAAAAAGGACATATATCAATGCTACAATGGAATATAAATATATTGAAAGACGAGCTTTATTTCATATTTTAAAGGACCTTGACCTTTGACCTTAAAGATCAACGGTTACAGAATATTTGCTTCAGGTTTATTACTGAAGCTAATCATATGCCCTATAACTTATCGTTTTGAAAATTTTTAATTATTTGTAGACTTCAAAAACTTTAAGGGGAAATAACTTAAAAGGGTCGATGAATCTTTCGCAAAGAATAGGATAGAGGGTTTATGAAAATAATCAAAGATATTAGTGGTGGTTTGGTATCTCTGTGTGTTTCGTCGGAGAAGCGATAACAAGCTTTTATTGCACAATAGGTCATAACTTCTTGGGGGGGGGGGGTCATAGTTCTATGATATACGCTGAGGGGTCAACTGCAAAATGGTTCAAGGAGTACATTTTCATGGACTATAAATGTTTTCAATAAATATTGAAACTCAAAAGCAGAGGCGGACAAGCAATAATAATTAACAGAACTATTTCAATAGGTTTTCCACAGCTAAGTGGAAAGACTTGATTTAATATCACTTATTTCGTGGCTGTATACGTGTGGTTTATTTTTTGGGGGGTTGGGGTTGGTGGGGGGGGTTGTTTGTTTTTGTTTTGTTTGGTTTTTTTTCTGCTGGAACTTGGCCTTTATATTGACGAAGACATTTACACTCAAACAATGAAAATTAAATTCGATGAATTCAAAATTTTTATTTAGAATTTATTTAAACTGTGCATGCATCGTCATACATATAACAAAGTCGTTCAATGTATTCAGTAGTTGTATGTAGACACTCAGAATAACAAGTTCATGTCCTGTACCCTAGATTTCTATTTTTATGTCAATAACCTCCGGTGTTTCTTTCCGTTTAAATTCCCTTCTCGAATAACACGTAAAACTATCTAAAAGTAAAGGGAATAGATGTGTACGTACAGTGCCTGAATGAATGACCTTCTGGGTAAACTTGATTGGTACAAGGTAGAGGAATGAAGGGGATGATGGGGGGGGGGGGGATAAAACAAGGTCGATTTCCATAATAATATACCTTTATGTTTCTGCTTTCAGTTTTTCCAGGCGTCCCTGTTTTCTATAGCGGTGGGATGATTTCTGGATTCATGTTTTGTTTACTTTATTATATATATTTAAAACTTTGAAAATGCAGAGGATAGGGGAGCGACACTCACCCCCTAGATCCGCGCATATGCTACAAAACTCAAACTTATTTAATAACTTTAACCAAATATCTTGCAACGTTAATCTCATTCACGACAAAAATCAAATAATTATTGATATGCACCAAGAAAGTTAAAAAAAAAAAAAAAATTAACATCGATTTTACCTTAAATAACTTGGATCGAAGTAACTCCTTCTATACACAATCAAAACAAACTCGATCACATGTCCTGCAATGAAAGTGCCTTGATTTCCGTAATATGTAATAGAAGAGACGGTAGATATAGACGACATAGGTACTTCATTCAAGACACTATACAGGAAAATATACCATGTACTGTAAACTGGGCTGTGTGCAACTCACGTGAATGCGTTTGAAAAAAATTATACAGCTCTTCAATCTAAGTAGAATTACATCCTTTGATCCGCTCCAGTAGATCGCTACCTTTGTGTAGTGATCTATTGGAGCGGATCAAAGGATTTAATTTATTATCAGTTCCTGCTTATATGATGAGGGGGAAGAACGTAGTACATGTATACAAATTTTGCTTGTTAGGCCAACTTTAAAATATTGTTTGTGTGCCATCTCCCGACTTAGAACGAAAAAAATGGGTCGGTAGGTACATGTACATGTAGGTGAGATTTTTTTTTTCAAAGAAAATTTCAATTTCAATGCTAAATTCTTAAAATCTATTGTCCAGCATGCATGAAAAAAAAATTGCTTGTGGGAGGTTAAAAAAAGTTTTGAGTCGGGCCCTTTATAGCCAGTTGGTCGGGAGAGGGCAACCAAACATTTTTTTTTTTTATAAAGATGGCCTTACTAATAACTACATTTCAAGATACCGTTAAGTATTTTCGTCGGTGAAAATTTTTTTACAAAAGTCTTCTTTGGACAATATAGACAACTTCTGGGCTGCTTTATATCCTCTCTTGATGTGCCCTTTGATTAATACTGAAACTGGCCATTTGAAGAAATATAACAAGCACGTAGGAATACTTATAATCCACACCGGGAGGTAAGGGGTCACAGGGGCCGTACCCCCATTAATTTTGCCAGTATATACTCTTCTGATAGAAAACCATAATTTAGAGCGCCCCCTCAATAAGTGTGTAAGAATATACCTAACATTAAAAAAAAAAACAAAGCTAATTTACGGTTGTATACCCTAACAAATTGTAATAGTTGGTTTTTAAAACTTTAAACACAGAGCCAAGTTTTAAAGTGTAACATGTTCAATCACCCCCCCCCCCCCCCTTCAAAAGCTATATGCAGTTTTTATTTTGTAGATTTACAATTCTTTTAACAATTAGTAATATTTTACATTTTATTTTTAATATTTTATAAATAATACATGACCTTTTCAAATAAATCAATTTTACACAAAAAAGCTTAATTACTAGTCACCACACAACATGACACCAGTTCATGAAATCAGATCGTCTTCGGCATAGAGCTTTAGTAACTGACATCTAGGCAATGCCCAATTTAGCGTTACATGTTAATGTAAATATTGATCTATCAGAAGATATACCCATATTTTACTTGAGGCTTTTTTTTAAAGAAAATAATATATTAATTTGTTTATAAGAAATATTTAGAACAAATTAAAAAATCCAGTTGTACATTTTGCACCAGAAGACGCAGTATGTTAACACGGTAAGCTGTATGCTCTTCTGCATATTGCAAACTTTCAAAACCTCAGGTCCGTTGGAAGCAATTTCAGTTTTTTTTGGTTCTTTTTGGATTTTTTATTGGAGGGGGGGGGGGTGGATGGGGGGTGGGGGCACAGCCATACATTAACAGTTGGGTGGAATTCCTCAAGCAAGAATTCCTTGACAAGCAATTAAAAAAGGTCATCAGACTTTATTTTTGAGAAGATACAACCATAAAGTAACTATGTTTTCTATAGTATAGAATATATCGCCAAAATGAAAAGGGGGGGGGGGGTCTAAGGCCATGCTCCTCAGTGGATTTTTGTTAGATGTTAAAATTGATTTCCTCATCTTTTCAATTTAGTGATTGAATGAAAAAGTGACAGAACTTACTAAGGTCATTAAAGAAAATGAAGTCACCTATTTACAATGTACTATTTTCACACAAGTCAATTGAAAGAAAGAAAAAATCTGTTCCTATTTGTTGCACTGGTTTATTTTAATCAAAATTCTAATTCTTCTTAAAAAATACAACAATCTTCACTTGACGCTACACAGTGATTAAAAAATACTGCATGGTACCTGAATCTAAATAAATGTACTTAAAAAACAAAAAAAAAAGTAAAGCCCCTGAATAACATATGTTTACAAGCACAAACATTTATCACAGTGAGTTGCTTAAAAATAAACAATTATAACATGGAGGATGTATTTGGGTCACAATTTCTAACAAACACAAGCATTTCAATTGAAGCTGAAGGGACAAGAGAGAGAGTGAAGGGACAAGAGAGAGAGAGAGAGAGAGAGTAAAATCCAAACAATTCACACATGTTCTGGGTAACTTTTCAACATACATGTATAAAGCTCAGCCAACCAGGGGCCATGTTTAACATATATTAGGAATCAAACCCTTCCCAGCTAAAACAAAAAAATTCAAGTCTCTACTGAAGATTCTGGTGATCAATTCATGTAATCATATATAAGAAACAACTTTTACAGTTGAGCAGTAATTTTTTCCCAAAATTTCCTTTTATTAATCAAACAGAAAACATGTACACAGTGAAACAACCAAACATACCTAACTTCTGACAAAATCTATTTTTTTTCACTCGACATCAATTGAAATAAACCAAAAAAAAAAAAAAAAATTCAAACAAACCAACACTTTTTTTTAAATAACAGACAACAAAAGAAAGAGCATAATATACTTCTACAAATATACATGTATACAGAAGACTACATATTGGATAACAGATAACAGGTGCATTTATAGACAAGTGAACTTTGAGCATCATATACTGTAGGCAGTATTCTGATCTAACTATTGTAAAGCATTGGTGAATAAGAAAGAAAAAATTAAAACACTTATATATTATGAAATCATAGGGAATACTATGAGCATTTGTAACAACATATATGAATTTGAAAAAAAAAAATTAAAGATAAATAAATTCAAGTACATTAGTACATTATGTCTTTATCCCCTCTCCAACCCCCCCCCCCCCCCCCCAACCCCAAATAGGACATCACACCAACTTTCAACAGCTGAAACTAACTAATTCCTGCATTAAAGGGTGTCAAATATAAGCTCTACAAAAGCAAAAAAAAAAAAAAAAAAAAAATTCACTTGGGTTCTTAAGGGTTGGATATTAATATAAAAAATCTTACTACCCTCTGATCTAATTAATTCCTATTACATGACAGATATCCATGGGTCATTTACATCTGGTGTGGGTCCAGATTGGACACTCTATTTATACACATATTTGGGATAGAGATTTCATTAAGGTTTCATTGCGTTCTATTTTCTTCGTTGTATCCCTCCATTTTTGTTCTGTTTTTTCCAGCTCTGTATTTTTGTGACATTCATAATGGAAATCTGTTCCTGTAGATTCATACCTGAAAAAACAATAAATTATTTATTTTTACACGTTAATACACAATACCCCTGTCAGACTGATTAAAGAAAAATCTATCAGTGACATTCCATCTTCAAGCTAGATCTTTTTTTTCCTAGATTAAAAAGTTCAAATTCATATCATCCCTGTACAAATGTCTTTTTATCCCCTTGCAACAGAGTTGGAGGGGAAATAGTAACAGGTTTGTGTGTGTATGTATGTAAATAAGTTCGTACTTCGTGTGAAACGGAAGTGATGTAATTTGCATCGGGATTGATGTCTAACACTCGATCAGCCTTGATTTATAGATATAATGCTCTTTGAAAAGGGATGCTCTGCTTTGCGTTTTCCTTGTTTTATTTACCATTTTTCCCTTGGGGGTCTTAGTCTTTCTATTTCTTCTAATTTCTTTAATTCTAGCAGTCTCTCCTCCTCAAGGCGAAGTCGACTCCATCGTAGCGTGGCAATGTCTTCATCGTATGGGGTAATAAGCATACCATTTGCTGAAGCTAAAATGAATAAGAGATGTAAATAATATTTTACTTAAATAATAAATACAGTGTATTAAGTAAAGAAAATGGAGTAAATCAGTTCATTTGATATATTATAAAGTTAACTAGTTTCTTCCTCGTAAATTCCAGTGTCTCTGATTAATTTCTTATGTGTGAATAAGATTTAGGAATAACAAAAAATTAAACAGAGGCAAGTATTCATATCTAGAAAATTATTATTGTACAAAAAACTGTCTGACACTGATCAAAACTTTCTCTTTCTTCTGGATGGAAAATATAAGCATTACAGTGGAACACATATATTTGCAAGATCTTTCAATATCAGTGATAAAAAATGCTACAAATGATTTTGAAAGGAAATCCTTGCAGTGTAATTGTCTGATATTTGAGCAAAGATTTTTGGTATATATAATAACTTCTAATAGATATAAAAATTCACTAAATAAAAATACTAACCAATTGTTGGTGCATTGGAGGACAGTGAATACAATTTCTCAGCATCATCTCTCTCAATCATCTGGAACTTCTTTGTCTTGTACTTTAGATATCTGTCATCGTCAGCTGACTGCCTCAGTTTCTGCAGTGCTGACTTAGCTCTCGTGTAGGCGTGTCTCCTTCCTGTCGCTGGAGCTGATGAACACTGGGACCTCATCAGCTGATCCTTCAGTTTTTCTTCCTCAAGCATAGCACTAAAGGTTACTGGATAATATTTTTTTGCTAATGAATCATAAGTTGCTAAAGGAAAGTCTCTTCTTTCTTTCCATGTATAATCATCAGTTTGATAAAACTTTGATTTGTCAGACCTAGAGATGGATGGGGTAAACTGTGACAGTTTAGCCTCTGGAAACTCCTGATCATACAAGTGGTCAATCCGAACTATTTCTTCCACTGAGGGTTTTCTCACCATGCTGTCGTTAAACGTAACACTTCGGGAGAAAGTGTTGGTCAGTTCCTGACTTACTCGGTCGAGTTTGGTTGCCAGATTTCGTAGAGTGCCACGTTTGTCCTCATACTTTTCCGGGATAAACTTCATCTGTTGACAAAGCCTCTCTGAAGTGCTGGTAAGCTGGGAGTTGGTAGCATAGTCTGGTTTTTCCCTAAAAGAATATATCAAAGAAATTTCATTATTTGCTTTCAAACTCAAGCAATAGCAATTTTAGTTGTTTATGTTGGCCATATTTTTAGTTGTGCAATCTGTCAAGGGTTTAATTGTGGGGAGCAAGGTGGACTAAGAACCCTAGGCTGGCAAAGAAGTTTCCTACACCCATATTCGATTGTGTAGAATGTTTTCATTAAATTTATACATTCTATCAATCAGTACATATCTGTTTCAGTTTTAGAGTCTAGTAATTTCTACAATTTCAAAATATTGGCCACATGATGTATTCATTGCTAAAAATTGACCCCCCCCCCCCCCTTTGGCTGTTCTACTTTAGACATTAAGTGATTTAAGTCAACATTTTTAAAATCCTTGATATATCGCAACCCCCTTCCCCTTTTCTGAATCATGTTTAAATTTATAATGCAATGTAACCCAATACGATGCATAATTAACTTTAAGAATTTAGCATTGGTCAAAATGATAAGATTGTATGATAAAAGAGGAAAATTATGAATATTCGGCGCATGCCGACTTTTCGTATGCAGCTGATAAACGATTGTTTCACATGGCAACGCGCGAAAACGTGTCATTATTGATAATGCGTTCAATTTAAACTAAAATTCTGCTTTTAATGCACTGTTAATTGCTGTTTACCAATAAGATGACCGTTGACCATGTAAAATAAAATCTTCGTCTGGATTTCTGAACGTTTGACTGCGACTTAATGACAAATTTGACATTTTCGTCTGTTTACGGAAGCCTGATTTTGCACATGCGCAGTATCTGGGTCTTTATTTCTCTTTTCAGAAAGAAATGTAGAGAGAAGAGTTTAAGCGTCCAATTAACTCAGATCGTAGTTCGGTGTGGACTCGTTAGTGAAAGATCTAGAAAAATTCTCCTGTATCTCGCTGCAAAATGGCAGGACATGACTCAGAAAAGTTTGATGGCATGTTCCTGGCAATGTGTCAGCGCAGTGAAAAAGGAATCGATGAGGTTTTTATCTGTGTTTTAATGTTGTTTTATTAAAAATCTAACGCTTCCTTAGAGAAAGTGAAAGTAGGGTGGTATTTTCCTAGTTTTGGCGTATTGTGCAGGTTTTGTTCCCCTGAGATAAAATAGGCTAAAAGCGAGCGCAGTGAGCGGCGTGAAGCGCCACTCGCATTGGGAGCTCTAACGAGTAACGACAACGCCTTGGCGAAGAGAAAATTAGAACTTTGCAAATAGATAGTTTTCGACTATAGCTAGAATAATCTAATTGTGTCTGAACAGGCCCTCACCACAGTTAGAATGCCTCCCATATACCTGCAATGTAGCAGAAAATTGCAGAATCGCTCTGAAACGATTTTAGAGAAAATAACTAAAGTTGCATTCACAGCTCCAGATAATCTTTCAGTGCAAAGTTTATTTTAATTTTACTCCCTGGTTTTCAATTCAATGCAGATTTTAATTTGTTTCTGAGCAAAAAGTATAGCATATTTTGCTGTTTAAATGTATAAAACGAAAATCAAACACTGAGCTTACATCAATTCACAGTAATATTAGATATGATGCACTTGTATTACTGGTATTAAATCTATTGCACAGACAACTTTAAGAGTGCAATGCATTACAATTGCTAATGCATAGTTGTATGTCGGACCCTTATTTCAAATTTTGATGTGTATTTTAATTGTAAAATTCAATGCATATTTCTTCAAATATACACCTTATCTGGAGCTCTGTGCATTGAAAATAACTATCAAATTAATAATAACAAACCTTTTTGAGACTGTGGATACCTTTCACCCCAAAATTTGATCCGTATAATGGAAAAATTTAACACTTTTTCTCAACGTTTTTTACTCGTTTCAAATTTGCACACCATGTTGACATTCAGAACTCTCTGGAATTTTCATAGTAAATGCACTGAGTTAGAGTTATCTCCCGTGTTTTCTTTGCTACATTGCCAATACACGGAACGCATTCTATCGTTAAACCGGGTCCGTAGGACATTTATCATTTTAACGATAGAACATTCTATCTACTCTTTGAGCAACCAGTTTATACTTGTATTGCAGTAATAAGAGCAAAAATCTTTTAAATACTAAAATTACGAATTAAAGGAAGCTTGAGTAAACATAAATTCGTAAAGAAAAATTGTGTTATCTTTATCCAATTGCCCAGTATGACAAGTTTAAATTGGTTGAATTATGAAGGAATTCGGGCTTGTATACCTCCAACATGGCGACCAATGGGAAATAACTCTTGCTTAATTCAGGCCAGTCAAAAGCTATCTATTGATCCAAATGAATTTTTCCGGTGTAACCTCTGGACCCACATTCCTTTGCGAAGTGCATTTCGTCGCAAACTACGTTCTCACTGTAACAACACAAGTTCAATAAAAATGAAATTAGTACCTTGATTTAATGGATACTGTAGATAAATAAAGAACAAATAGAGAATAAATGTTCTTTATTTAAATAAGCACTGTTCATGCCTCGGTTTCGTAATGCAGCTTACATACAACTTCATGTGACATCAGAGTCTAGGCATACCAAATGTCATGTGAGGATTGAAGAGACATTTAAATTAAAACTGAATATATATCTGCGCTTACCTTAACGGTTGCAAATGTTGACAAATCGAGTCTCTGTAAGATTTTACAAAGCTTTTGATAGTATTTTGCCTGTTTGATGGTGTGACTAACTAGAGAGGACGAATTTGGTGCAGTTTCCGACCTCTTTCGACTTTCAGTGTAATACGGGGATATCTCTCCACTTTATATAGTTAGAAATCATCACTTTTCTTGGTTTTCATTTTAGTGCTAGGTATCAGATGTAGGTTGTTTTTGTTCACTGCATGTTTTATATGGCAAGTGCAAACAGTAGATGACATAGGGGTGTTACTCAATCATTTTTGAAGCTAGATCTCGCCAGACACAATTAGGAAAAGTGTTGATATTTAAAATCAAGTATAAACCAAGGCACCCCTTGGAATGCAAGATGGCAAGTGTCATCCCTTATCTCCTTTTCGTGTAACTTGAAATACAATTTTTAAAAAAATGCAAATTTAAGCAATTTATTATTATTATAATCAGTATATTTAGACATAAAAAAAAATACAAATACACAAATACACCATTATCCTGAAACCAAGACCAGACTGCACATGACTAAGACTTTGATGTCATATAATGTATGTTAATTGAAATTCCATATCAGAGTCTAGAAAGTGCAAATTTTTTAAAGCAATTTGAGCAGCATTTTTGAGAATTTTATTTTGCTGTTTAAGTGTGATTTTATGATAAATCTGTATGTAACTTAAATCTTTATTGATCAATTAATCTAAAATAAAGTATTAAATTGTTTCAGAAGAAAAATTTCTGTACAATTTAATGTATTATAATAGTATTATATAAGAAATCAATATTGTACAGGATGGCATCAATGTAATTTTGCTTCAATCAAAGCTTAAAATTAGTTCTTCCTTCACAAACATAAAAATTAAAAGTTTATGAAGTTTCTTTTTTTCTGTCATTGAAATAGTTAATTACAAAACTGCAACAAAAATTTCTGACATCAAAGTTGCAGCTCATATTGCTTTAACATGGAGCTTTTAACTGCTGTCTATTTACTGTACAATTTCCATAAAGCTAGCCCAGTTTCCTTTTTTTGTGAAAATTTGATTTGGTAGCCATATGTGCTTTCATGAGTTATGTATCCAGATTTGTTTACATGTACTGTATTTGAAATTGTATTGATGATATTCTGATCATTATTTGAGGAGAATTTTCAAAAATTCAGAACTGCTTAAGATGGAAAATTCCTGCAGTGATTTATGGCATAATGCATCTTTTTGGCATCATACATGTATCTTGTTATAGTTTTGCAGAAGACCAATAATCTCTATCTTTTACAGCTCCTAGACTGTTTGTTCAGTTTTCTGGTCAGGAAGACAGACTACTACACAGCAGGAGCCCCAGGGCAGGCAGAGAGGGTAAGGAACAAAAAGTAATTGAGTAAAGTCTTAAAAGAAGGAAATAAAAGTAATCAAGTAAAGTCTTAAAACAGGGAACAAAAGAAGGCAACTTAGCCTTAATACATGGAAAACAAGGAGCTTAATGTAGGCTAGTACAGCCAAAATGTCATGCATGTTTTACATCTTCAAAGTTTACAATGGCACGAGTACAATTCTGTTTGTTTGAAATATTAAGAGGTAAGAGGGTCAGGAGTGGACTGTTTTAAATGTGACAGAGCATGTAAGGTACTTTTTTAAAATTAGTTCTTATTCTTTGAGAGTTCTGTGATTTTCAAGTCAAATTAAAGAGTTAAGTTCCCTCTAATGCTACCGGTACCAATTTATTGACTTAAGCTCTATGTCCCATTTCAAATATCAAATGAATATAAAGTAGAGACTTGGTGCTTTCATTTCCTATTAAAACCTTTCTTCTGAAAGTCCACTCCAGGTATTAAAAACAGGCTTTGAGAAATTGCAAAGTTCTTGAATTTTAAAGAAAACAGGTTTATTTTGGTACTTTCAGTGAAGAATAAAAATACGAGCACACTCCTCGATACAAAAAATAAAGCATGTTTTGTAATCCTCAGAAACATTTGTATCTTTAAATAATTGCATATTTTAGATAAGAGGATGTGCTCTATATGAAATATTAAAAAAAAAGCTTTAAAATTGGCTGTTGTGTAAATTTATTTTACAGACTGATAATGGTAAAATTGACACAATTCATGATGTCATAATGCATTGAATAGCCAGAAAATTACATCATTTTTGATAGATACTTAGTCACCAAGGGCCTGAATGATATGTATTGCATTTGCAACTAAAACTAAGCAGTTGCACTTTTAATTTTCAGAAATTCACAGGGCCAAAAAAGGCCCTTGGTGAACCTTATTCTTTTATCATAAATTATTCACTCATATTATGACTTGAAAGAAAAGCATTGCAAAACTTGTATGTGTCCTGACAGAACAACATTGCAGCTGTCACAGTTCTTAATATTTTAGCACTGATAAGTTGAGTAGTCTATAAATAATCATATTATAGGACATTTACTTTAATGCTTTTAATTTAAAGTATTAAATCAAATCATTCTCAAAAGCATGTTTTTTTTTTTCTATTGGAAAAGGTTTCAAAGTTCGTAATTAGTTGCAGTGTACAGCTTGAATATTGTAATAAAAAGAAACTTCAACCACTGTATCACCGTACATTATGGAAGAATACCTGTAACATTCTAGTCCCATTTTTTGACAGATTTTTTATCTTATGTTCTGATCAACAGATTTTGTTGGAAAACTTCAAAAAGTATGAAAAGATTGCAGAACGACAGAAAGAGGAAATGAAGAAGGAACGTGAAGAACAAGAGAGAAAGAGAAAAGAAAAGATCGCAAAGAGGAAAGCCGAGGAACAAGCGGAGATGGAGAGACTGAAGAAGGAAGAGGAAGAACCCAAAATTAAGGAGGTCACTGACGAAGAGGCCGAAAAAATACAGAAAGAAATTGACAAGGTATGGGGTATTAAGTCATGTTCCAAAAAATACAGAAAGAAATTGACAAGGTACAATGTATTTAGTCATGAATTGAAAAAAGATACAGAGAAAAATTGACAAGGTACAGTGTATAATTTATAAGTTGGTGCAAGGGTGCAAGGAATTGCCGTAACTTCAGATTAAGAGTAATTTGGGCATTGTTACATCTTGGTTATTTATCCATACTGAATTTTTGTGTGTGTGTTGATTCGCGATCCTTTATTCATTTATGAACAATCCATAAGTACATTACTTCATGC